CCTAAGGAGTATCTGGAAGTGCCCTGACAAGATTTTGTCAAGCAGAATCCTCTGCCGATGAGGGGATTGAGCTGAGATAATATGTGTTAAAACCTTCTTCACAACTCAGAGGTGTTACCATGGACAAATACAGGTTTTGGCTGTGAAAATAACAGGCATGAGAGGAAGTTACCTCGAGAGAAAGAACTGAGGAGGTCTTTATTACCTATTAAATTTTTGGCGTATCAGCCAGATAAAACATAATGACATTCATTGCCTTATAATGCTGCATTAGTGACATTACTTTTATAGCATCGTTCTCATACAAAGAAAACTCCTAAAGAATTAAATTCAGACCTCAGCACTGGTGCATTAATGAGCATTGGACTGGAAGCTCTAGTGGATTCAACTTTAGAGTTCAATAGATAGAAAAGGTGGTTGGATTTTGCATCAGAAAAATCCCAGTTTGGCCAAATTCTTTCCCTTTTCATGGCCTAGTAGTATCCACATTTTAAGGCTCATATGAAAATCTCACAAGAACAGATCTGCTTTAACACTTTTGTTACTTTTTATTTCTGGTCATGAGAACAAAATTGCAACAATGATGAAAAGCTTACTCATATGGACTTCACTGCTTAAAACTGTTGAGTCCACTTCTGCTGCCTTCAGACTGGTTCCCCATCTAGAGCTACAGGATAAGCTTTTCCTTCTTTTTTTCTTTTTTCACCATGGGAATGAACCTTAAATGTACTCAGAGATTCTGGCACCTGCAGGACTTGTGCATCTCCTGCACTGTCTGATGACATGGTGGATTCACTGCAACATGGTAGTCCCAATGTGTACACCCACTAAAGGGCTGTGATAAAATTATTTTGGAAAAAAAATCTTGATCCACAATTTAAAAATGTGGTGGAAGCTGCTGGTGCACATGGACTAGCTTTAGCTGCTGGAAGTTGGGCGTTCACTGCAGAAGGCTTTAGTCAGAAGAGCTCAAGAATCAAGACCTTTAATCATTTGCTAATGATGATTTTCAGAGACCAATGCAAATTCTACCTTTTCATTATAGGTTGGCAAATGTGACACCCACCTACAAGAAGGGACAGAAGGAGGATCCAGGGAACTACAGGCCTGTCAGCCTGACCTCGGTGCCGGGGAATGTTATGGAGCAGATCACCTTGAGTCCCATTACACGGCATGCAAAGGACAACCGGGAGATCAGGCCCAGTCAGCATGGGTTTATGAAAGGCAGGTCCTGCTTGACTAACCTGATCTCCTTCTATGACAAGGTGACCCACTTAGTGGATGAGGATGGTGTCTACCTAGACTTTAGTAAGGCCTTTGACACCATTTCCCACAGCATTCTCCTGGACAAACTGGCTGCTCATGGCTTGGACAGGCATACGCTTTGCTGGGTAAAAAACTGGCTGGATGGCTGGGCCCAAAGAGTGGTGGTGAATGGAGTTAAATCCAGTTGGTGGCCGGTCATGAGTGGTGTTCCCCAGGGCTCAGTGTTGGGGCCGGTCCTGTTCAGTATCTTCATTGATGATCTGGATGAGGGGATCGAGTGCACCCTCAGTAAATTTGCAGATGACACCAAGTTGGGTGGAAGTGTTGATCTGCCTGAAGGTAGGAAGGCTCTACAGAGGGATCTGGACAGGCTGGATTGATGGGCCGAGGCCAATCGTATGAGGTTCAACAAGGCTAAGTGCCAGATCCTGCACTTGGGTCACAACAACCCCATGCAACGCTACAGGCTTGGGGAAGAGTGGCTGGAGAGCTGCCTGGCAGAAAAGGACCTGAATATGAGCCAGCAGTGTGCCCAGGTGGTCAAGAAGGCCAATGGCATCCTGGCTTGTATCAGGAATAGTGTGGCCAGCAGGACCAGGGAGGTGATCATGCCCCTGTATTCGGCACTGGTGAGGCCGCACCTCGAATACTGTGTTCAGTTTTGGGCCCCTCACTACAAGAAGGACATCGAGGTGCTGGCCTTATTGCTCTCTGCAACTACCTGAAAGGAGGTTGCAGCGAGGTGGGGGTCAGTCTCTTCTCCCAAGTAACAAGTGATATGACAAGAGGAAATGGCCTCAAGTTGCTCCAGGGGAGGTTTAGGTTGGATATTAGGAAAAATTTCTTCACCGAAAGGGTAGTCAGGCACTGGAATAGGCTGCCCAGTGGTTGAGTCCCTACCTCTGGAGGTATTTAAAAGACATGTAGATGTGGCACTCAGGGACATGGTTTAGTGGTGACTTGGCAGTGATAGGTTAACGGTTGGATTTTATGATCTTAAAGGTCTTTTCCAACCTAAACAATTCTATGATTCTGTGATTATCACTTGGGGAGTTTATATGGGGTGAGAAGATGAACAGTGAGGGAAGCCTACTTCAAAGGGGATCCACAGTAAATCAAAATTTGGAAGAAGCATCTAAAGAAAGAGGAGTTCCTTATGCCTCAGGAAATTACAGTTTTAGTCCTATAGTGAATTAAGAGGGTTTTTGGCCACCTCAAGTGACACCTCCTTAAGCCAGTACCTTTCTGCAAAAAACCCAGAGATTAAGAAAGCAAGCAAAGAAAAAGACAAAGGGATGCAGTTATTTTTGACTACCAGCCAACATACGATGGTTTGATTTCTGAAGAAGAAAGAGGATAATTTAAAGAATCTTAAATCTTGCATACAGAGTAGGAAAACCACACTTGAAAAAAAAGCCTTCTGATGTTCTCAGCACTCAGAACAGAATCATCCCATATAAAATTAATATCATTATTATGTGATTTCCATCTGTTAACGAAGCCAAACTATTAGAGCTGCTAGAAAAACTGCCTTAGTGGAACAAACACAGATAATGAATTTGAACAAATACACAAGCAAAAAGACAATGTCAGGCTCAATCACTTGGCAATATTAAATGCCAAGTAAACGAGTTGGCTGTGTAGTGCTATACCATCCAGCAGGAAATGCTGAGTGCCTGGATCACTGCTTTCCTTTCTTCTGTAGCCAATTTGTTCTGGATTTTTTTTGACCAAACCATCTTCCTTTTTTTGACAGCTCCTTTTCCAGACTATTCCATTGGTATGCTTTATGTTGTGCTCTGGTTGTTTGTATGGTCTGTATTGAGCCACAGGCCTGTTCAAACACCTTCCCCAACCCTCCTCACTTGTCCAGAAAGTATTTTTCACATGTCCGTTAACACTTTCCCCATTTGCTTCCCAAACCTGTCTTACTGGCACAACAGATAGCTCTGACAAACTTCCTTTAGTACACCACTACATTTTTAAACAGAGTCAGAAAATTCTTTATAAAAATAAAGTACAGTTTTAATACATATTTTCACATGTGTAAAGCAGAGTACTTGATAGCGTTTTTGAAATGTCGATATATACCAGGTGTCAAACATTATTCTAAATAAACCCCTGTAATGCACAGCAGTATGCTGGCCCATATATCCTCTCACAAGCTAGCATTTTCAAAAAAGTAAAATCTATTTAAAAGTTATAGGGACTTGGCTTCCACAGTATCTAAATTAGTCCCAAGAAGGACATTTCTGGGACAGAACTTGTGAACATCTAGGCAATCCTACACTCAGAAGAATTATTTTTAAACACAGTTCTCCAGGAAGATGCTACTAATATACGTTTTAAACCTTTTGCAGAGCAAAGCATGTGGTGATGTTTCCCCCTACACAAACTGAAAAACCAAGGCAGCAAAACACTGCCTGAGCAATCTCTCCTTATATAAGAGCTGACACTTCCTCCACAGATTGGCCTTCATCACTTCTGAAAAATGTCAATGGAGACCAAGGTTTATAAAACTTAAGTTGCAATACATTTAAGTGCTTTGTGCTGGAGCACAGCGGTATATTTCTGACTGTTCATTTTTTTGCATGGAAATGAGCTCCTTGCTGTTTTGGAACACTTTATAGTATTGTAGCACAAGACTGTACTACGAGTGACGAACTTAAGCTTCATGGTTGTTCCAAATCATTAAAAGATGTGACATCAAAGAATGATCCAAAAATACTTGTTCTTGTAAGAAACCATGAACCTCTCAGCATGCTGATAAATGTACCATGGCCTAATACATTTTATAGTTCTTTTCCTCCATGGAGCCCTTCCCTTCTTACGTCACAAGAGCCGAGTCAGGAAAGCATGTGATATTTTTTCTCTTTTATTTTGCTTCTAATCCACCTATTCTGTGAAGGTGAATAAATAAGACTATTAGAAAAAAAAGAGTGGGTGAGGAATGTACTTCAACGTGTTCGCCTCCCACACCTCATCTAGACATGAAATCTCAAAGAAGGGAGGGATGGGCAGGAAAGGCACAAAACCCCCTATATTGTATATAGACTGTCAAACAGAGGATCATTTGATACACAGTACCAAAGCATACTATAACTGACTACTCACTTTGGAGGTCCGATTGGTTACACAGGCCCTTTCGCAAAGCAGTGGCAGGACTACAGAGCTGCTCTGCCCACACAGCACCCCAGAGAGCCAGCACCTCAAATTCCCTCCCTTTATCTTCTACTTCCCAAAGGTTAAAAACCGGCTGCTATTTTTTTCAAACAATAGGTGAACTATTGAATTGCCTTGATCAGCAACTAGAACTAGCAAGCTCTTCTTTGCTTGCATCTGAGGTCTCCTTAGCCTACGTAAGATGTAAAGCATACTAATATTTCCAAGTAAGACACGCAGTCAAATCCACGGTGAACCCTGAGCGTGTGGTTGTGGTGCCAGCGAGGCAGGTGTAAGAGGAGCACTCCCATGAAAACAGTTAGGAAGTGAAAAGTACTGATGTTGCTTTTTGATTTGCTTTTTGTACCACTATTCTTGATATCTACTGATTCATTCTTTGCTAATGAAGATTTGTTGCGCTTTTTTCAGTTCATCCAATATGTATTACTAGGTAATGCAAATATGTAACAAATGTTAATGGGATATGTGTCTAAATCATATTGCTTGTTGTTGTTCTGCAAAAGCCTTTATCCTCGCTGTTTTCTACAAACCAGTTTCAGAGAGGCACTTACCTTGTCTGACAGCCAGTGTTGTTGTGTAGACCAAGAACAGAAGGATATAATTGAGGAAGCTCTGAAAAACAGGTGTGTTGGCATGGAAATCTTCTGACAAATACTTGCTCGTGAGACCAATGCCACAGATAAGGAGGGAGAGTACCTGGCCAAGCGCCACAGACAGCAAGAGATCCCTAAAAGGAATGAGAAAAACAGACATAAAACACTCAGCCCCCCTGCCAAGGAGGAAATGCTCATCCTCCTCCAGGAATCATGTTCAACAGTGCTAAGACACGGGAAGAAACGCAATCCTTCAGTCAACGAGGGATCTGCTGGGTGTAGCTAACATAACATTCCCATTATTTCTCCTCTTATCATGGGCTTAAACATTGCCCAAACACACTAGCTTTTATTCACATATTAAACAACAGCGGATGGTACATCGCTACCATTTAATTTCGTGTTTCACATTTCACAAAGGATAAATGATAGTTTAACTCAACCAAAATACAGCACTGCTTCCTTCGAGCATCTTCCCTAACAGAAAGACCCAGGAGTATCATTCAGACAGAGCAGGAATCACAACTCTTCCAGGACTTAATATGCACGAAGAAAAATCAGAGAAAGGATTTTATTGTGTTTCACCATCAACATGAATTTACTGTATAACTTCCTTCCCCTCATTTAATTTCCATTTCATTGTATAAACTATTCTTTCCATCTAGTGTGCAAATATATGTATCTTTTCTTTCACCTTTGTCACCGCATACTTCCCCTTCTGTTTGGCAGGAGCTGGAGGTTCCACTTTTTCCCTTCCTGTCTCCTTCTGGTTCTTAAAAATGTATTTTCTGGTATGGTGTCTTGCTTTAATCTGTTTTACTTGACTTTGATCCCCAGTCTCCTCTCCATTCCCCTATTACAATGCTCCCCATTCTCTCCCCCCACCGGTCTCTCACAGTTGCTCCTTTTGTGCATGTTCTCTGTCTTCCTATAGTTTCCTCCTCTTTACTCAAGAAACTGCTATATCTGAAAGCCCTCTCTCTTACAGTGTATATTATTTTTATATCCTTTCTTCAGTCTTCTCAGTGATATCCTTTTCCCTTCCAACTATCTTTTTCTCTTTTACTCTTCTCTCAGAACTTTATTATCCAACCACACAGCCTAACTCAGCCCAAACAATCTTCCTTTTCCAATTTTTGTCACAGGATCGCCTATACCCACAGCACAGGAATACGTGCATTTTTACATTACCCTTAAGAGGCTTCCCAGGTTCCCCATGTGTCAGTACTTTCGTGCTGACCAGGCCTGCTCCACAGCCACACCTTCCCCATGCGGAAGCACAAAATGCAGAAGTGTTGGCCTGGAAGAGGAGCAAGCACGACGACTGCAGGGGAGAGCAAAAGGACATCGGAAGGGGACATTTAGCCCAAGCCTGGCCGGCTGCTGCTGCTGTCGCTGTCACCAGACCCCCGAAAAGAGGAGCTGTAGGTCCCTGGGGGAACCCACGAAGGAGAGGGGAAGGCAGGAGAGAAGCACGGTCTGCAATGTCTCATTAGAGCCTGGTATGAGGAAAGGGGATTAGGCAATCCTAAGGGAGTAGAGGAAGAAGGGCAGCACTCTGCTCAGCTGTAACAATATTTCATGTGCGTTCTCCTCCACCAGACAGTTAAAAAAAAATTGCTTCAAGGCTGCTTTGCTTTCCCTGACGGATTTCCCTGACCTCGGCTGAGCGTATTCAGCAGCAATGAGCATCTGTGCTCCTGCAACAACTTTCCTGGTAAACTCAAGTGTCAAATTTGTTTCCCTTTTTCTCATAAACAATCCTCCCACTAATGTGTCTCGGTGTCAGTCATGGCGTGATTCAACCAAACAGACACTGGAAAGCACAGGAGGCTGGGTAGTTATATTCAGCTAACGTACCTTGCTGACAAACAGCCTGACACAGATAGTAAGAGAACAAACTTTACTGTGCTAAACCCCGTGTTTTGACGGGAGGCTGCTGGATAAGTAGCAAGTAAGACTCCACAACTGCTGCCTCTACTTCCACATTACTCACTCTACTGTGAAACATAACCACGGGAAACAAATATACTCCACGTAGATGACATCTGAGACTACGATGTGAATGCTGCCAAAACTATGGATCCTCAGTCCCTGCCATTACCTGCTATGCTGTTGACATGGAATAGGGATAGTGACTGCAATTTAAATCCACATATTAATCTTGTAAACTTGTTTATAGTTCTTCATTTAGTTGGATAGTATTTCCTATGTCCTTCTCCTGCAATGAAGTTTCACACATGGCTGTCCTCTTGCCTACTGCAGTTTTTGTAGTTTTATTTCATTAGTAATTTAAATGTTTGCAAATCTGTGTCTTTAAATGTGTTGCCCGCTTTACATGGGATGCAGGTGGTTATTAGCTGTTCTCTGGATCTCAGCTATGCCCATGAGCGAATGTTGTATTACATCCATTGTGGGACTGCACCTGTTCTGGAAAGAAGCATCTTGGATCCTACTTAGATTTACAGAAAGCTAAATATATCCTCACGCATGAAAGGATTTTCCCATAATATATTCCTTGCTCCATATGGCAGTTAGCTGTTGGCCATCACTAATTGTTACATTTTTTCAGACTGGTGGGAAGTTTGATGAGGTCTTATAAAAGGCATAACTTTTTATCTCAGCTGTCTATATTCAGGTGTGTCATCAGGCCTAACCAGGTAGCACTGGCCTCTGTATTAAAAATCCAACCAACAAAAAATTAAAAACACCAGGTAATTTTTCAAGGCTGTATATGATAACTATAGACCTGTCCAGAGTACATTTTAATTCTGTCATTGCCATTTTACAATTTATAAAACAGACATATTTTTTCATAGTTGATTCTCTGGCAAGTCATTCAACCACATCTACAAGTTACAGTTTTCCTGAAGAGTTCAAGCAGCTGTCTGCAGCTGTCTACAGCCTTACATATATATATATATATATAGCCTGTCCTCAGCTTCTATATTTTACATTTCATAAACATATAAGCAAGAAGGTAATTCAAGGTAATTCAAATTTTACGGTCTTCTTCCTAAGAAGTCATTTAGAATAGCTTTCTATGTCTGCTGTCAACTACAAAATATGTCAAAAATTCCATTCACTGTTGTATTACTGAAGTCACCAATGAAGACAAATGGTAATTAAGAGTTCAGTAAAAACAGACATGGACAAGAATCAAGACTATGAACATGAACACCTCCAATTCAGTGGATAAAGGCTGGATGTAGATCAGAGTATAATCTCTGTAGCTTGAAATAGCCTTTAAGTAAAAATTGTCTTTTGGATAATAACAGAACGCAAAAAATGCAGAAAACTACTTTGTGGAAGACCAGTGCAAGTAGTACTGTCAATGCCACCGGCTTTCAAAACACTGACTGCATAAATGATATTGAATACATACTGCTTGTCTCTGATTTTTGCACACATTTGGTGTTTTTAATTATGTAAGAAAACTAATTCTGAAATCAAGCTGTTATGTTGCTCCTCCAGTCAGAACTTAGTTAAACATTTCACAGATGATATATGACATAGAAAGATACATCTCTTCTTTTATTCTTATCTCGTCAGTGCAAAGAGTAGTGTAAGTTAGATGTTTAAGCAGAACTAATTCATATGTCCATGAAGTGCTCATACTTCAAGCAAAGATGATCCATTTTATACAAGTATAGTTATTCCTAAGACTGTTCATGCCCACGTTAACTCTCCTGCCATACCTAAAGATATGTCCACTACAGACAGGAATGACGGGTAGCTGCACCGAAGATTTGGTACACTCCCCTTCTCTCATCGCTGTAGGCTGCAACTGACACTAACCACTACCATGGAAAACGAGTGAAATGAATAAATATGGAAACCAAAGCACAAGATCAATAAAACGCAGATTTTTGCCAAGCAGAAAAGTAGAAATCTTAAATCATTTGTCTTAATTAGTGACAATGTCAGCAGCAACAAAGAGTAATACAATGTTTGGATAACCCTAATAACCAATGTAAGATGCCTGAATTGTACAGAAAATGCCCAATAGCATTATCTGTATTTCATTTTTCCTGCCAACAATGATCTACTAATACAAGAGCCTTAGCTCCTGAGCCTTTAATACCTGGATAAGAATAATAACATACCCATTCTTTTTTAAGAAGAAGAAGCAAGCAAACATTGAAAAGAAGCTTTCAATGGCCGTGGAAAACCTACTACTTCCTTTAGACAGAGCAAAAAGCAACTAACTCACTACTGTCATCTCCAGCACTTATTAGTAGCTTTCCTAAATATCATGATACTGGTGAAATATGCAACATGGCTCCTATCTGCAACACTTTCCCTGTTGGTTTTCATGCCCTTCACCACTCAAAGACCAGCACAAAGGATAATTTCTTCCCTAAGCCTTTGGTCTATCATGCTGGCTTCAGTAGTACATTCATTCACCGAGGAAGCAACATTCATTCATATCTTGAAGAAAAGCTGTATGGTTTGAGGGCCTTCAAACACAACACCAAAGAGTGTCACTACAAAAAGCTTTATAAAAGTGAGGTTTTCTGCCTTTCAGTGTCCAATTTCTCTTTAGTTCAGTGCTATTCTATTTCTCTATTTGTATTCTATTTAAATGAAAATAAAGTAATTCTTAAAAAAATCCCATTTTCCCTCACTAAGATCAACAGCATCTTCTCAAGCCAAGTTAGAGCAGGGGAAATCTTCAGCTTGTCTCTAAACTTTGATCTCAAGAACACCCAGAATCATAGAATCATTTAGAGTGGAAAACACCCTTAAGACCATTGAGTCCAACCGTTAACCTAACGCTGCCAAGTCCACCACTAAACCATGTCCCTAAGCACTACATCTACACGTCTTTGAAATACCTCCAGGGATGGGGACTCAACCACTTCCCTGGGCAGCCTGTTTCAATGCTTGATAACCCCCTTTTGGTGAAGAAATTTTTCCCAATATCCAATCTAAACCTCCCCTGGTGCAACTTGAGGCCATTTCCTCTCATCCTATCGATAGTCACTCACTAATGTAGAGCAAATAGAAGACATTCTTCTACTGTAAACCACCAATTTAAGGCCTGCTCCTTGAATTTTTTAGCTTGAATTAAAACGCTGCATTGGAACCTGCAAATCCATTGGAATCCTGCAAATTCATTTCACTGTAGCTA